GTTATCTTGTATATTTACAACAGGTTTATATTCTGCGTAGAAACTGGATTCAACCGTTGTGTCTGTAGGTGGAAGACCAAATAACTCTACTTGTCCCCTAATAGACGGTTGAGAGAATTCGTTAATTAATGCCATTATCCAAATATATCCCGTTTACTAAAAATTGATCTTCTTTTCTTAGGTGCAGTTGGTGTTTTTCTCTTGTTGCCCGATTTTACGGATGAAGCTTTAGATTTCTTTGGGTTGGACGAGTGATGTGATTCGTGCAACACCTTACACTCTTCTGACGTTGCTGAGTAAAGCTTTTCGTTTTCTAGAACCTAATCCAGCTCCTGCTTGGGGTTTAAGAATAGATTTTCCAACCTTTTTAGCCATTTTAATAGCATTGGATTTTAGGGCTGTTTTAATTGATTGACCATTTGTAATATCAGATACTGTACTCAAAATTGCAGGCGCTGCATGAGGTAGAATATATTTGGTAATGAGCGGTAATCCATATCGACCGATAAATCCCAGAATACTTCCTAGACCACCTCCTTTCTGTCTATAACCTCTAAACACGGGTATGCCTTTACCAATTTGATTCTCTAACACACGGTGATAGTGTTCGTGGTGAAATACATGAACATGCTTCATTTTTTAGACTATTAGTAGTGCCCTGGAAAAAGGATAAAAACTGTATGAAGCTTCGTACGCTAAGCAGTTGAATAATGGAAGTTATCAAGAAAAGTCTTTACTTATAAACGAAAAATCATGTCATTTTACCTACACCTACCTTCTAATGTTAGCCCACGGTACTATCCTAATAACAGGATGTCGTTATATAAAACTAAACTACCAAAACGTTTGAATTTTATATCTAACGAATATGAAGTAGCTATTACAGAGTTTACTTACGTAAATTCTTTGAAAACGTTTCAGCAAGATGACGCAAGAAAAATACTATTTCCAAATGATCCAGAAAAAAATATTGGTCATCGCATGGTTAAAAATAAACAATACCAAGATGTACAGTCACTTGTTGAAGAAATCAATCTCTGCTTAGTACTTAATGAGGAAGTTTATGCAAGTTTTGCATATAACCCTGAAACAAATAGAGTACATTTTTTAAAGGGTTGTGGAACATTCTATATAAATGTGTGTTTAGCTAACATGTTGGGGTTTGACTTATATACCCTTGACGATACGTGTCGATTTGACGTTAGTAGGATAGCAACGAACACCCCCAACCTATCTAGGGGAATATATCATATTTTTATATATAGTGATATAATTAAAAGACAAATTGTAGGAGACTGTCTTTGTCCCCTACTAAGAATGGTTAATGTAAGTTCAAAGAAAAATGAAGCCGTGACTCACGAATTTCGTCCTTATAATTTACCACTAAGTCAGCTTGAATTTGACACAATTGAAATTCTTCTATGTGACGAATTTGGCGATGAACTTCAGTTTGAAAAAGGACAGTGCATAGTAACGTTGCATTTTCGAAAACAGCAGAATGGAAATTGAAGGTCATTCTCTAAAGCTTTTACATCCCTTCTCGTTAATTATTTCCGGAGTTTCTCAATCAGGAAAGTCAGAGTTTGTTAAAAAATTACTGACTCATGATGCACAATTAATTGAGCCTTGCCCAAGCCGGATAATTGTTTCTTACACAGAAAATCAACTTGCTTATGATGATATGGCTAAACATAATAATCGGATTGAATTTAGACAAGGATTGGATTTTGATATGTCTGAATTTAGTAAAAAACACCCAACTTTGCTAATAATTGATGATCAAATGAAGGATGTGCTCACGAATGAAAAAATTCAAACGTTATTCACAAGAGGAATTCATCACAATTCAGTATCAGTAATTCTATTAACACAAAATCTATATCCTCAAGGAAAATTCGGACGCGATATACGACTCAATTGTCATTATATGGTAATTATGAGGTCTCCTACGTTCGCATCTCAAATACAATATTTAGGTAAACAGCTTTTTCCACATAATACGAATTTTCTATCTGATGCCTATAAAAGAGCAACTGAGCAACCATACTCGTACTTATTCCTCAATCTACACCCTTTGTGTAACGACAGAACCAGAGTGCTCCAGGGAATTTTTTCAGACGAGCCAAAATACGTGTACATACCAAAATGAAGTACGTTATTGAATTTGAAGGATTTTTACTTCCAAGAGGATTTGTGTTTAAAGAAATAACAATTTGTAATATTAAGTGTACGGAAGACCCCACTTATTTTCAGAAACATTTCTTTATTAAACCCCCCTGTCATTTCAATTCTCTGTACATGAAAAGCGTATAGTGAAGTATTGTGAAAATAAACTTCATAAAATTTACTGGTTTGCTGGGCGGGACAAGTTTAATAGTGTTCTGGCGTATTTGTCTACTTTAAATGATGCTACAGTATACACTAAAGGACTACAAAAGGCAAACGTTTTGAAGAATTTGGGATTTAACTGGACTGTTATTAACACAGAGGATTTATTGGTTGAAAATACAGAAACTGTTCTGAAAATCTGCCTATACAAGATTCTATTGAATGTCCGCTCTCATTCCATATTGACAACGCGCAATGCTCACATGCTAAAGCATTAAAAATTCTCAACGATTTATCAAGCTACATGAGAAATGAGTCACTGCCTAAATCGGAACCTCTCGTTTCTGAAGAAACTTGTGACATGCAGGGGGTTGAAGAGGAAGAAGATCATTCAGGAAGCATCCCCGGACGAGATACGAGCACTAAGTGAAATTGCTGTAAATATAATAGAAGGTCGTTTTCAAGTAGACGAGGAAACAAGAAAGAAATTACACAAACACAAAGATCAAATCAGGGAATTATCAAAAAAGTCAAAATCACATAAAAGCAAGAAGGAACATTTAGTACAGAAAGGAGGTTTTCTTCCATTCTTAATAACACCCGTGCTTTCAGCTCTTGGTGCAATAGCAGGACGAGCGATTAGTTCACACTTAGGGTTTTAAAAACTAAATATTAAAATGTCGAAAAAAATGAGAGTTGTTAGTGAAGACGAGTATTCCCAGCTTCTAAAAAAAACCAACACAATGGAGCATGCTAAAACTCACTTTTTTACGGACAAGGATCAGGAAGCTACATCAGTTTTGGGATCCTTAATTCCGGAGGATATTAAAGTCCAATTGTATAGTAGTTTAATGAAACGTGTAAATAATCAGTTGAAAGACATTTTAGATAAACCTATTTCCGTTAGAATGGTTTCTGGTGAAGATAAATCATCCATAGGAAAAAGTAATACTATCTCCACTAATGAAACTCCTCCACCTGTAACTCCTTCTAGCACAGAGTCTACTCCAGTTGGTTCCCCTGAAAAATTCACGTTATCTGAATCAGATAACTTTCTGGGGAAGTGAGTTTGAACCTGACTCTAACATTTCGGATTTAATGAGTTACTCCATTAGAGATTTGAAATGGACCACATCCCCAAACGGAATCAACAGATTCCTGAGAGTGTGTAAAATGTTAAATGTCCCTGCCGCTCTATTTTCAACTGTAGTGAGAAATGATCTTATGGGTACCTTAGATTCTATTCCTCTAAAACAAACAGCTACGCTCAGTGCTCATAAGCTGTCGAGCTTCAGTGCATGGGAACCGTTAAACCAAAATGATGCTCTGAATAAAACCTTTGACCCATATCGTACTCCAACGGGAATTCCCCAAAGACCTCGCAACACTAAGGACGTTACATCAAGACAGAAGACTTCATATGGTTTCCCACATGATAGAATGGCTTTTGACTGAGGTATTCGTTTTTGAACAACAACAACAACAAAAAAATTCCTTCTTAACTTTGAGGTCTGGTTTGTGTAAAAAATTGTTTTAATAATTTAATAAACTATGCTAAAGTAGTACGACATATTAGTGATATGTTCATTGTAGTGTCAGAGCTCATGCGATTCAGTTCTAATCAGATAAGGTTTTCCGTATTTATTTTAAATACTAAACATGGTTCTCCAAGATGAAACTTTCCAACTCTGGTCTATAAACCACACGATATTGATAACAAAGATATGTGTCTAAATAGTGATCGTTTAGCAACATTCAAAAACTGGACCGGAAAATGTAAGCAAAATCCCAAAAATTTTAGTGAAGCAGGATTTTACTCTACTGGATATGGAGATCGGCTTTCTTGTTATTATTGTGGAATAATAATCCATAATTGGCTGCCAAGTGATGATCCCTGGATTGAACACTCTATTCATTCAAGTGACTGTCCATTCCTCTCTTTGCACAAACCTAAATTTCAGACTATTTTATCGAAGGATTTAGACCAAAGTTATACTTACCAAAAATATAATGTAATTTTGTAATGCTCTTATATATTTTCAGTTTTATCAAAATAATTATTTTTTTGTTTTATTATTTTTTTTATTACAGAGTCTATGCAAACAAATAAATTCGTCAAAGGATGAGAATGGTGAAAATCAAGAACATGCTACTCTTACACTCCTTCATAGCCTGATGGAAACATTTCTGTGTTCGGTGTGTAAACTCGAAGAAGCTAATTACATGTTCACTCCATGTTGTCACATTTGCTCCTGCTTTCCATGCTCTACTACCCAAGACCTATGTCCTATTTGTAGATGCCAAATTAAGGGAATAACAAAAGTTTTCAAACCTTAAACTGTACATATTTTATTTATTATTTATATATTTGTAATTGTAATCATTTTATTGTTATGTTTAAACTGTACAATAATTCACTAAATAAATAATTGGTACTTGTTAATTTTAAATATTTTACTTGTTGTACGTAGGAATCAAAAAATGATTGTGAGCAAGTGTACTAATTCCATCGGGTAAAATAAAACGTTTCGAATCAAAACTATGCAAAGCTACTTTTGTATAATTTGCAGTTGTTAGTTTATGATTCTTTGAACGAATCAAATTCATTCTGCACATATATTTTGTTTGCTCAAACAAAGTCTCCATAAAAGCTTTATGAGTTACATGTTTTCGTACTAAAGATTGTTTGACTCCTTTCATAGCAATCTTATGGATATTCTTGCCTGCAAAGGAATACATTTTTGGAGAAACACCCACAAAACTATACATGATTTTTCCGTTACTCTCGTCCTTCATTTTACCAATCACTTTTTTATTTTCTGTAGAATAAAGTGGATGAGTGTGGCCAAAATCACTAAAGTCAAAATCATTTTTCACCAGTCTTAAATCAGCATAAAGATCAGCGGTTTTAATTTGATAGGCTAAGCTGTCCGTATCTGTAAAAAGGAACCTGGCTTTAATTCCATACCATTTTTTGATCTTGTCATAATGCCAAACCTGCATAAACAACTTGCTGAGATCTAAAACCGAAAACGCCGTATATATTGGCTTATCCAATACAATACTAGGTTTACTCATGAAAACAAGTACCAAGTTTGGAGAAAGAATCTCAAATTTTCTGAAGTTCGAAAGCCTGGAATAATATTTTGCTGTTTCAATACTATTAACTATATATACATTTTGCTGATTCCTAACATTCATCATGCTACGTCCAAAAATTGCGTTAACTATTAGCTTGAAAAAGTTTTGCTCAGATTTGTTTGTAGCGTTTCGTCGTAAATCACAACAAAGGTTTACAAAATCTTTAAGCCAGGGCCTTTGAACAAATTTAATTATCTTATGAATCTTTGTTAATACCATTCCCTTCTCCAAATAATAGTTGAGATTTCTATAATGCACTGGATACATTTTTCTAGATCCTAAATGGGGAACTAATTTTTTCTGCTTTTCTGAATATTTAATGTTATAGGAAGTTAAAAGCTCCCGCTGATGCTTCGAGAGTTGATTCATGGAAATTGTAATTTTCTCCGGAGCTAGTGAATATTCGTTGTGCTCGCTCAACAGGTGGAGCTCACAGGGATATTCTAAATTGACAACCAAAATTCTACCGATTTCATCCTCATCACCCCATGCCAAAATATCGTCTATACTTAAATTATCAATGAACTCTTGACTTTCCCATTGAAAATCAGAAACAGGCAAAGGCTGCTGAAGCGCCTCACCGTACAAGTTGTTTTTATCAATATAAAGAAGAAAAGAGTCTTCCTTGACTCCTTCTTCATAATCTTCCATATACTTGTTGTAAGCTTCAGAATATCTATGAGATATCATAGATACTCCTCCTCTAATGCCAGACTCTATAGTATTGTACATGTCTTGATCAGTAACAAGTTCTAGCTTAACTTTTGTACTCAGAAGGGCAGCATCCCAGCTGAAGCCTGGGAGACTAAAATAGTGACAAGGGTCAAGCTTAAAGTTAGAAATTGCCATATCCCTGTAGCTTTCAAAAACGCATGCCAACAGAAGTACATCTGTTGTTAAATATATGTCGTGGTACGAACCCAGGTCAGTGCATTCGGTTTCAAACACTGACTTACCAAAATCATAATCCTCTTGTGAAATCCCTTCACAAGTGGGGGTGTTATAAAACTCTGAAATATCAGGAAATTTGGTTTCCTTAAATTTATCCCAAGAACTGAAATAAGAATATGGATAGACACCTTTCCTTGAGAGTTTTACAGCCCGTTCTTTTGAAAAATGTTGTATCATTATACCAAACTTGTCATCAAAGCCTTCGGGTTTTGCATGAAGGTTTGTTACAAGAGTATCTAAAGATTTGGGCAGATGCATGAAAGAATCTATGAACATGAACTTATTACAAATAATGCCTATAAATTTTTCAGAGTTTTGAGGGATAACGAACGTATTCCCAGAACCAAATTTCGTTGCTGAACTTAACAGCAGGTGAGAGTCATAATTTCTAAAATTATGCATAAGTACAGGGATTTTGACTTTTTGAATATACGAAGCATTACATTCTCTATGAGCAGCTCCTCTAAATAATCCAGTATTGTGATCATGATCTCGAACTTTTATAGATTGGTGATCAAAATCATGCTCACAAATGTGGCAGGAATCTGCCATAGAAAAATCATATTCTTCCTCTAGAGAAAGTTGTTTCATAGCGATATGGATTTTGTTCCTTCGTATGCAAAAGCTAGCGTGTAGATTCACTTCATCTATAAATTTGTCAATGCTATTTGAACCACGATATTTCGATATATGAACCAGTTTCTTATTTGGGCCAATTACTGCAAGATTATATCCTGAAATTTTGTGTTTATCTATTGAGGTCGTACTGGTATTATCGTCTGTGAGCATTGCTTCAAAATCTCCATACATCACAAAGTTTTTTACTCTCAAAAGAGCAGAATGGAATTTTTCCATCAACGACTGAAGGAACAGAAACCTTTTGAGTTTTAAACTCAAAACACAACTGCTGATGTGAATCAAGACGCTTTTCATCTCCGAAAGTATTCAAACAATTGTAGCAAACAAATTTTCGATGATGTCCCTGTCTGTTGATTAGGCGAGAAAAATTCAGGATAGACATGTAATGCCCATGTTGCTTAAAAGCATCCTGAATGTATAGAATGTTTACGATTTTATGCGTTCTGCTATTTGCATGAGGTGTTAGGCGTAAAACGTTAAGCTGCTCTTCTTGATCAATACCAAACACATTAATACCAATTTTAATATGTTTGTGCCGCTTTTCGAATGCTATGATATCTTTCAACGATGCTGGAAACTTTAACGAAGAGAAATCGTAGTGAGTTTTAAATTTTTCATATTGAGATATTCTTCCACGATGCCTGTTATCTACTGAATCTCCATGCATGCAGATCAGAAAAGCTGAAGCAAAGCAATCATTTTCCTTAATATCGGGATTCACAATGGCATTCTTATTTTTCAGATGGCTGGGAATGATGCACGAACATCCACCCTTTAATATTTCAAACTGAGCTGTTCGTATATCACAGCCTTTCACTTCATCTAATATCCAACCACTGCCATTTCGTTCGAAGATTTCCACATTATTATCGATTTCATTAACCATGTCACAAAAGATTCTATTAATGTAGAGGGGACTGAGGATAATTTTAAGAGAAGAATTAAAATATTGTTCTGTTGTTTCCATGAATTCTACCTCTTCTTCATCCACGCTTGGATGCATACGTTTAAATTTACACAAAAGCGTTATTTGAAACTTAATGCTATTATAAATTGAAACATTGTGAAATAGAATCTGATTAATTTTAAACTTAAATCTATTAAAAAAATCTCTAACAGAAATAATATTATTATCCTCATGTGTATTTCTAAATCTGTAAGTTTTCATAAAGCCTTTAAAGGCTTCAATTTCAGAGAAAGGGAAAGCATTCAGTCGTAGCCCTCTTCCTCTTTGATCAAATTTCATGGATTTTATAACTCCTCTTTTATGAGCTTCATTGTGCTCTATAAGATCAAAAATGTTGGCTGAGAAGTCACAATATTCACATCTATGATAAGTATTCATATGTACTTCTAACAATTTAGACGACCTGAATGACATGGTACAATATTGACACAATTTTCTCTTGTTTTCATCTCGGTGCCTTAGTAAATGTGACGCAAAATGCTGACGATTTAAGAATCTCCTAAAACATTTCAAGCATTGGAATGTTGTCGTCTTAATACGAGGAGCCTGCCAAAATAAAGCAACCATCTCAGTAACTATCAACAGTTTATACACATTCTTGTCTAAGTGATCTCACCATTTTCTTTGTGATGTAAATCTCTCAACTATTATTAGGTTGCTCCGAATGAAGTACTCATACACTAAGCACGGAGAAAAAAAAACAAATTTTGAGAATTAATTGTATAAATTTAAACTTGGAAATTTAAAAATAATAAATAAATAAAAAATAACTTACCAAAATTTCCAAAATCAAGTCAAGAAGTGTGTATTCTAAAAAATGCTTGTGAGAAAATATGTATAACAACATCTTTTTTATATCTCGGCGTGACGTCATTATCTTAATACCAAGAATGTGTTTACATATAATAAAACATACCATCACTTCAACTCCAATACTGTAAAAAATATTAATTACCACTTACCACTATTAACCGTATTTTGTAAATAATTGAATTAGTAACCCCTAGGGAGTTATTACATTTTTACGGTATGTACTTATTTTGGAATTTTTTTTTGTAAATTACTAAGACTATAAAAACAATTGGCAAAATAATGAGCAAGTTAGTCAATGTTTCAACATTACGTGCAAAGGATTTCCAAAGAAGAAATAAAAACTTTAAAAACTCCAAAATGTCTATGGGTAAGTTTTCCTAAAACACAAATAAAATAATTTTAAGAAACTAAACAAGCTTTAGGAAAATTTTCAAATGTTGATAAAATATAAACTTGAAATCTTAAATAAATTCCAATATTTACGTAAATTTTAGCAGGGATAAACGCAGTGGCAAGAGCACGAAAAATCTTAGAGGAGGCTAAGCCAGGAAGTCGAGAGTCTGAGGACGCACGAGCTTTTCTTCTTTCTCACCGTCGACAACCTGAAGTCTTTGACGCTGGATTCGTCGTAGACGATGATGAGGAGGAACCAAGCGGACCTTTCACTGATGAGGAGGAGGATGAAGACGAAGAGGACGAGGATTCTCCGTCTGAGCCAGAGGAGGATCCTGATTTTGTTCCTGCAAATGAACATTCGCAAAAACGTAAGATATTTTATTTGATTTATTAGGTCATATACTTATTGTTCATTTTTAATTTAATTGTAAATTGTTTCTACTATCAGGGCTGAACCTCGTGGATGATTTGTATGCAGTGCCTAAGTCAAAGCGCAAAGAACCTGCAACCAAATCAAAGAAACTGGAGCCAGTTGTTAAACTGAAAAAAGTTGATTTATATACGGAGCAGAAACGACGACGGGAAGCAAGGGAGAATGCAGCTGATGCGAAGAAGGTTGACGCTGCTTCCAAGAAGGAGCTAGATGCCGCTCGTCGAAACCCGTTAAGCTTGTTCTACACTGGTCCTGAAGAGAAGACAGTCAAGGCTGCTGCCGCCGCTAACAAGAGGAAGATGGCTGAAAAGGGTAAGATGTTAATAATTATTTTAAAATGTGAATAGGGAAATTTGTTGTAATCATAAGCTTTAAATTTTTATTTCTATTAATTGCAGAAAAGTCCCCAGCGGAGAAGAGAGGTCGAGTCAAGAGTGTTCCGCCTTCTGCTGTTCCTGTTCCTTCATCGGCGCTTGTTCCTGTTGCTCGTACTACGATTCCTCCTGCAAGCTCATCATCATCAGCTCCGGAGCATGAAGCATATGTGCCTTCATCATCTTACAAAGGTCCTATTTCGCTTAATTTTGCTCCCGAAGGGGAAAGGAGTGACGATCCTAGTGGACAAAATATTGTCCATTGGGAGGGCCAGCTAGGTCAGGGGTTTTGGCTAAAACTCCAAACTTGGAGAAAAAATGGGCAGGCTTATGTCTGCATCAGAAAGAATCAAACCACAGTGGCAAACCTGTCGTTTAAATATTTTCAATCGTTGATTGCAGCGTGCAATACCCTGCAAGCAAAGATTGACACTGACCCTGATTATACTACCTGGATCCCATAAATCCTTTCAAAATTAAACTGAAATCTATTTTTTCTTTACCTCTCTTAAGCTGAACAAGTTGGTTGGTCAGAGGAAGTAGATTCTAATCAGGGCGTCTATAAAAATTCGGAAGATCTTATAATTATTTCAAATAACGATTATATAATGGGACATACACAGTTTTTTCACTTCTTGCCTATAACACTCCAAAGAAAATTAAAATTTCTTAAATCATGTAACGTAGCTATGACTTCGATTTTCCAAGCAAAAGAAAGCTTTCTTTTACCTGACAATTTTTGGTATCCCGTTTTGATGGTATCTCGTCATTATATGGATTGAATGTAGTAGCTGATTTCCTACATATTTCAAATATATAAAAATAAGTCGATAATTATAATAGTTTGACTAACAATTGAAGTTTAAATAAAAAATGTATAAATATTAACCTTCTAGATGACTATAGAACGGTCCACTTTATTAGGAAGACCTTTGAAAGTAAATTTCCAACAAAGTTGCACCCTCAATCTGCTGGTTATGATTTGTACTGTCAATCCGGAGCGTTACTTAAAGCAGGGGAAATGATATTTATCGATATTGGGATTCAAGTTAAATTACCGTTGGGCCATGTTGGTTTGATTAAACCAAGGTCTGGGTTAGCGTTGCGGCATAAAATTGACGTCATGGGGGGCGTGGTCGATGAAGATTTTGAAGGAACTTTGGGGGTTATGCTAATCAACCATGGGAAACTTCCATATCAAGTTGAACTTGGGGATCGTGTTGCTCAGTTCTTGATTATAAAACTCCATAATGGACCGTTGAAGAAGTCTACGTTTGATGAAATTATTACCACCACAGCACCTGTTGCTTCTCGGCGTGGAGCCAAAGGATATGGCTCCTCTGGAAAATAAAAACGAGCAATTTTTACTATATTCAATATAAACTAAGTAAAATTTACTTCAACTTAAATATTTTCGCAGCTAATGTTAAAATTTCACCATCCTTCCTGCACGACCCTTGATTCAATAAATAAAACGCACGCACAAACTTAATCCAAATATTTAATCTAATAACTGAAATAAATGTCCTCAAAAATGTTAATATTTGTTACATAAAATGTCTCCTATATTGAACTGTACCTGAAGAACATGCTTGCATTACTTGGTGGGCGAGCTCCTTGTTGGAGGTACTAGTGGAAGAAACTTTTCTCTCTTGGTCGAGTTACTTTCACTTTCCGCTGTAAGACACAATGTTGCAGTAAGACGGAATATGTAACTTGAAAAGAAAGAAAAAATAATAATGAAAATCATAACTAAAATCTAAAATAATTAATGAACTAAGCATACCAAGCTTAATTTTGCAAATATTTTGCAATGAAACATGCGTATTTTCATATGTACATATATTTCATGTAACCTACACACTTACCAGAAAATAAAACCTTCATTTATCATCCTATCTTTGGTGCTGTTGTTACAATTTATTGATATCAATCTCCATCCTGTATGACCCTTCATCACACAAACACACACACACACACACACACACACACACTTTTGCAAGTATTTATTGCAATATTGAAAATAATCTCCTCTCAAATGTGAATATTTTCTTTGCAAATTGCACGTTGCATTTAAGTTGATATTAGTAGTAGTGAATAACGTGCATGGCTTACATTAGTTAATGAGCAAGCTCCTTGTAGCAGCAGCTGCTCGGAGAGAAAACTTTTTCTCCTGGTGGAGCTTTTATTTCACTGGTCTCCCTTCCGCACGCTAGGGTACGGAAGCACCTCGCTAGTAGAAGAAACTGCTAGTAGAAGAAACTTTTTTTCATTTTAATATTTTGTAAACTTTCTCTCTTTCACTGGTCGCACTTCCGCTCCAGCGGAGCGGAAGTGCGACCATAAGATCATCACCAATCTACATAAAATGTTCGCTGGTAAAGTTTAATTACACATATTTCAGGTCGGACGAAAAATTTCGTAGGATAAAAGTGACCTTAGCATTACAGATTTACAACCAGCTGCACATTTTGGTGGCACAAATTAACCATTGCCTGCGGAAAGTGTCCTTTCCCACATTCCTTCTGGGAACAGTTGTGACGACCACCTTGGGGCTAAGTTTATCCATTTTATTAGGCGCTAGATTACTTGATCACGTTGGAAATTTATTCTTCCCTTTGGTTGCTGCTTGCTCGACTATGTTTACTATTGTGTTGGGCAGTTGGGCACATTTGCCGGATTTGTACATAAATGGTCCACAAAATGTATAATCAAATTTCGGAAACATTGTACAGCACATTGTGGGAAGATGGAGAGAAGCGTGACGGGAAGGGTTATCAGGTCCTGTTGCCCGATGAAGATCAGATTCGGGAATAATTTCGTGGCAATTTCGACACCATTGGTTATCCTGAGTTTGTGCGCAAAGTATACGGTTCGCCTTTTATTAATGCAGTAGCTAATTGATTGGTATTATTTAACTACACTCAAAATAACCTGGTGTCAATCCAGAGTGGTGTAGTCATATATAGACACCACGCGGTGTTAATGCGGGACCGCGCGGTGTTAATGCGGGACCGCGCGGTGTTAATGCGGGACCGCGCGGTGTTAATACGGGACCGCGCGGTGTCTATATGTGACACCACCGCGCTGGATTGACACCAGGTTATTTTGAGTGTACCAATTAACCATGGTCTATGTAAAATGTAAAAACAATAAACCTTGAATCAATATTTTGCACGCGCATATTTATGGTAGACAAAGCATAATTACCTTAAGTTGGCAAGCATGTTCATTATTTAGACTCCTTTGCAAAGGCTAAAAATATTAATTTGTTAATAAAAAAAACTCAAATCGCTCAAAACTCAAGTCGCTTGTATGTACTCAAATTTATGAGTACATACGTATTAAGATACATATGGACTGAGGGTACTGTGTATAACAAAAGAAGCAAATCCCTCGGGGGACGATAGCTACAAACCATTCAGTTTCAGGCATGCGAAAAGTAGTATTGGGCAGCATTATATATACTAAAAAAACCAAATGGAACTATGGTTAAATAAAACGAAATAGAGCACTGGGGGCTATTAAAAGATGAACTAGATAGTTGTTAATAAGTGTGGCAAATTTCATTCTAATTCGTCAACCCCTTTTGTTTGTATTACGTGGTGGAAGAAGTGCCCTATTTTAAAAATATTTAAAATCTACCGCAATGTGGTTTGTGTCAATGTGTTTAACCTACATACCTCGTCAGTGGTTGGTTTTCCAACGCAATTGCTGAAAATAGCGAGTACGTTAAGCTAAAATTCATAAATTTGAAATTTATTCAAAGTTATTTGACCACACTCAAGAATAAGATCGAGAACTTCTCTAAAATCTTACCAGGCTCCAAGTCCTTTCCAAAGTAATGATCAGGGCGATTATCTAATTGGCCGGAGAGGTTATTTCTAAACACTACAGAAACACGAGAGGTTATCGGCAGACTGGTTAAGGCACGGCCTTTGTGGGACTCAACCCTACTGCAACGAAGCAACCTCCAAATCACGTACTGAATGACTCAAACCCCACGTGGGAGCAATCATAATGGTTCGTATTTTTGAAGTTGCTTCCAAAAATTATATAAAATACGATCTTGAAAAAAAATGTTGGTGTAAGGTCCCAGATCATGACCTTAAAGGTAACAGGTCATATGGACGACAAATGTGTCCTCTTTACCCCCCTCAAAAATGGTGTAATTCGAAAGATAATATCCCGGAGCTTCAACTTTAGTCCTTATCACTTATGCTCTCCGGCCACACCCAAGGCCTGTGGGAGTGGTTAAAGCTTGCATCAATATTTATTTGCAAGAAATCCTGCCTTACAAACTTACACCGCAAAAATGCAATTACATTGTACAGCATCTCATTTTTTAGAATTAGGCGAGGTGAAATACATTTTTACTCCTCAATCCAACAAAAGGATCTTAACCAGATCATTTACAAACTAATTGAGTGGGCTAAAATAAAAATAGATTTTCTATCAACATGAATTTGGGACTGTGCAGAATTCATGTGATCGATTTGGGAGAGGGTAGGAGTCAAGGCATCCTATCCTACACATGTTAATTATAACATGTGGCGTATAAGTCACAAGTCATAAGTCACAGTCATACGTCACACCGGGTGGTAGGGTCAAAATCTCCGGAAAATCGGTCACGTGATTTATGTACGGTCCCTTTGAAGATTGTTAAATATGCGAAGCAAATGAGGAACAAGTTGCATTTTTTAAAACAACAAGCTACATAAACGGGGATTAATCAATTCAATTTTTATTTTGACTAAGGTTACGAATATTCAAACTCGTGGCAAACTTTTGTTCAGGGTTAGAGTTAGTTTCTTAATGTTAAAATACTCTTGGTTAGCTTTTCCGTCATTGAAAATTGTCCTTAGAAATCATGCAACGGATAAAGTTCAGGTACGGAGTGTGCAACGCTGTTTTTTACCGATTTGGTTCACATGCCACTATTCGAGATAACCGTAGTACATTGTTTTAATTACAAGGGTACAGTTTTCTGTTCAATATAATTTAGTAGTCCAAGCAACACTTTGTGCCGGTCGGACAAGCGAAATTTGGTGGCGCCTGCAGCGTGAAACACTCGGGCAGGAACGTCGTTAATGGAACTGGCATTTCAAATAAGATGCATCTTCCTCCTGCGGCAACATACATAAACTTTAAAATATGTGAGCTTAAATCTTGTCACTAATTATAATACACCATAAACCACTCTTAGAAATCCTGCATTAAAATACATCCCATGTGGGAAATTAAAAAACATGAAACTAGAAGATATTTTGGTCATGTAGGAATGTGATTCTAAATTATCATAAAAACTAATACATACTTGCGTAATATCTTATTCTTTCAACACTTTGTACTCGCCATCTACACTAAAAAATGCGGGGACAATTTTAATCACGAAGGATATGTAACGGTTTTTCTCCTGTTAAATAACACCTCCACGAAATTAGTGCACAAAAATGTTTTTACACATTTACTAACACCTATCAAAAATTGGAAAAAGTGCATGAAAATGCACGAAAATCAATTTCGTGTTATCACCTAGCCGAGATGCATTCTCCAAGAAGGATAGTGTCCTACGATACGGATTCCATTTTGACAGAGCAGTCTGCCTTCTCGGGGTGAACTAATTTAATACAATTTTTTAATCTTACAATGGAGAGGTGTCAGGTGGTTATCGCCAATGTGGACCGGACTAAATTTAAATTGTTCAGGCCCAGAAATAAGCCCACCCGTATTTTTTCGTTTTCCTGAATGGGCATATTAACGCCCGTGGCGGAATTTTCAAAACAAATTTCAGCCAAAATCCTAATTTTTAAAAACGCTGTAACTTTTCGAATTTTTGCCCCATTTCAAAAATTGAATACAATTTGTGTTCAGAATTACTTCCCTGAAAATATAAAAATTCATTTTCAAATTTTTTTTAATTTTCCAAAAATTATCGTTTTTTTCATTTCTAAAAACTCAGAAATGGCATGAAAATATTAAATTCGAAAAATTTTTGAAATTGAATTTTTATATTTTCAGGGAAGTAATTCTGAACACAAATTGTATTCAATTTTTGAAATCGGGCTAAAATTCTAAAAGTTACAGCGTTTTTAAAAATTAGGATTTTGGCTGAAATTTATTTTGAAAATTCCGCCACGGGCGTAAATATGCCCATTCAGGAAAACGAAAAAATACGGGTGGGCTTATTTCTGGGCCTGAACAATTTAAATTTAGTCCGGTCCACATTGGCGATAACCACCTGACACCTCCTCATTGTTAGTGAGGAGACTGAATTTGTCATCAAAGTGTATAACTTGAGAAGAAAATTGATGAGCAAATAAATGCGGAGGAGAGGAGAAAACGTGGTAAAAATACACTCTAAATAATTTGGTGACAAATCGTCACCCACGGAGGTAATATATGTAGCGCTCCATTTTGGGATAATGATATTAAAGAAAATAAGTAAAAAATTAAATACATACTAAACCAAACATCATTATTTATGTAAATACGTTTTTGATGTAAACAAATAAAGCACGTAAAAATGCTCAATTCTTGTTTTTACTACAGACACCTTTGTTTGGTAATCGAATTTTTACTTAACTTCCCGTTCGTGAAAGAATGTCTCGTTAGCTATTTCCCCATAAATGAGTACCATAATATCCCCGCGGATATCTCCAAATTATTTAAAGTATAGACCGTCAGATGAAATTATTTAAGATTATTTCGAACGTGTTGGCTAACCGACGAAATTCTGAGTAAGGCTTACTCACCATCCGCCATAAATCATAAACGGCCATCTCTCCTGGCGCGATGTTCGGTTGAACGTCTGTCTTACGGGGTCACCCTCAGCTGCCGTGTTGAGAATTTCTTTCTATTATGAACATGAATAGTGAGCGAAAGTAGTGCCATATTTTTAAAATTCTTTAAATCGTCTTTCCGGAAATGTGTTTAGCTTACCTCGTCGGTGGTTGGTTTTCCCACGGAATTGCCGCCAAAGGCGAGCAGGATAAGCTAAG